GCGAAACCTTGGAATTTTACACGAGAACAAATGTCTCGCAACCCGAGTTCACGGACACTCTCCCACCAACGCCACCGCACCAAATTGAGTGAATCAACTATGGAATTTTACGCGAAGACAGCTACCTCGCAACCCTCGTCGTTCACCCAAGTGTTCTAAGAGATGAAGTAAGGAGCAGAATTGGAGATTGCTCACTTTAGTTCTCGCCGCCGAACCTGATTTGTCGGTGTAGTCCCCTAGTCGAACACTTGCGCCGCAGATGGTGATGAAGATGGTAGGGTTTGGTGGATTTGGTGGAAGGCACCGTTGAATCTATTTGCTAACCTGGTCAACCAAAGGAGGGACCTCTGGTCGAACACCGCAAGAGCGCAGACCAAGATCAACCTGCCCACTAGAATTACGATCGCGATCAAAGCAAGCGAGATTGACGCGGTAAGCCCAGATTTGTGGATTTGGTGAGGGATCGATGGATTGGGATGGAGGTGATGTGGAAGGAGGCTTTGGATCACTAGATCCGCCGCCGGTAGGTAGTCGAAAGCGTGCGGAGTGCCGGGATAGATGGCGGTGATGAAGAGGGGAGGCTGCTCGTCACCCACACCGAGGATAGAACGAATCCGATACCACTTGTCACACCCCTGGTCGTCGGTGATCACCGACGACGTGAGCACAAGCAAGATAGGCACGGATACGATGACGCTAGTGAGGCTAACCCCTGCGCCTTGGCGAGTTCACTAAATAGCAAATGTTTGAATGTCCAACACGATACAGGGTTAGGGCTCTTAAGCCATGATACAGACGCTGACCACTTTGGTCCACTGGATAGAAATGAAATCAAGAAACATAAAATGACATAATATGACAACTCCTGAATATTGCTTCACGCCCGCCATCTCCTTCTTCAGTCATGAGCGATGCCAGGCACGACAGAGGGGGCAGTGAGCTGGGCGAAACTGGCGTCTCCTCTCCATGATCTCATCAGGAATTATAAAAACAGAAAAAAAAATCGATATGATACGATAAAAGAGGTGGGAGGGGGAACCGGCGCGGGGAGCGCCTGCCTCGGGTTTGAGGTGGGAGCGGGGGGAACCGGTACGGGGAGCGCCCGTGGTTGGCTCGGGTCTACGATTTGGGCTCGGTAATTTGGACTCGGGATCAGTACCCAGGGTAATACATAGAATATCTAATATAATATATAGGTATAGGTATGTGAAATTAGTTTTGTAATTAGTTTATGTTTAATACTCCAAATTAGTATTTATACATCTGATGTGACAAGGTCTAAAGTTTAGTCACGGGAACCAAACGGGAATGACTCCTGTCAAGACGCCACCAAGATTTCCAATTTCGGTTACCTAGATTCACGAAATGTCATCGCAACTAGCGCCCGGACGTCCGGACAAAAGCACATGTCCAGACGCCCGTGCCACCTTCGTCACACGCGCCCACAGAAAAGGCTATGCCTGCCACTCCTTTCCCCTGGCCCCCTCCTCTCTCTCCGTGATCGCGAGTCCCTTCTAAGCAGGCAGGACCCGAGAGCCAGCATGAGGACGAGCACGCCCCATCTGTAGGATCCGAGGTGCGTTGCGCGCTCCGACCGCCGGCCCATGGTTCGCCGCGCCCCATCCCCCGGCGCCCAGGCCATGCCCCCAGGACTCTCTACCTCTGAAGCATGAAACACTTGGATGCAACAAACAACTGAAGCAGATGAAACATTTGGAACATACAATTGCAACATGTGTGTGAAACATATGCAACATCCAGATAAAACACTTGCAAATTGCAACATGAAGACACTTATTGCAACATACGACTGAAATAGCTAAAACATTTCGAACAAACTCTTGCAACATAGGTGTGAAACATATGCAATATCCAGATAAAAACGCTTGCCACATATGTCTAAAACAGATGAAACAATTTGAACAAACGCTTGCAACGTGCCTCTGAAACACTTGCAACATGTGCAACATCTCGATCTACTTATGCAACATCTATACGAAACACCTGCAACATACTCTCTGAAACATCTGAAATACTTGAAACATACATTTGCAACATGTGGGAGGGGAGGTCGGGGCCGGTTGATTACTGCCTCGGGGCGCGAGAACCACCAGCACGGGCCGTGCTCATGGGTGCCCTTGGCTTGGCCGGGGACCGACCTGAGGCGCGCGACGGCACCACGAGCACCAGTAGAGGTGGCGCAGAGCGCCTGACAGTGTAGGAGCGAGCGGCGCGGGTGGGCGCACGACGGGTGGGACTGCAGGAGCCAGGAGCCAGGAGCAAGAGGCGCTGGTGGGCGCGCGCAATGGGCAGGAGCGAGAAGCGAACAACACAGGGTGGGCGCGTGCGGGAAGATGGCCACGCCGGCAAATGCAGAGTGGGGCGGACGGATGTCCTCACGGCACCGTGAAGCGTGCGATGGGTGAGCAAGTGGTAAATATTTTTTGAGAGAGAGAGCGTGAGAGACGTAAAGAGAAGGAGGCAGGCTTGGTGGGCCGCGTAGGCCAGGAAGATGGCGTCCGATCGGACGGACACCCGCCCCTTAGCATTACCGTGTAGTTTATGATGTTTTTCTAGAGCAAGTTCAGCATAACGTAAAAATAAAATGTTGTGTTCGTCACAGAGTGCAACCCAAAAATCGTCATAACATATTGTGGTGAATTTTACGACAAGTACTTATTTGTCGTAATATTTAGTATTTTTTTAGAAAACTGTCTATCTAATCCACGTTGAAATTGGTGGTACTACACCCGTCACGTGTCATTGTTGGCTGTCTTATGTTGTAGTGTGGCTCACAAAAATAAGAGATCGCGCGGGTAGGTACTATGAGTGTATGGATTCATTCTGTTATGTTTATGTTGAACTACACATAGTTCACATTCTTGGTTTCTACATATACTGCATTTTACTCAACTGAGGCCTTACTGAGCACCTAAACAGGTAGAGGTGCAGTAAACATATAGCTATCAAGTATGAAAGATTCAGCAGCATAATACAATACCAGGCAAATAGGGAAATACAATTTTGTAGTTGACATGAGGCAAATACAGAATTTTTTTAATGAAAATATAGCAAAAGTTGCATTGAGGAACACAGAATGTTATTAGTGTTATGAAGGACAGACAGGAGTGGCAGGGAAAATTAATATTGCATATGTATTTACCAAAAGGTTTGTAAAATCAAGTCTCTAGCCTTTGCACCTAAAGAAACTGATAATTGTTATGTAGGTATGGAAAAGAAGGTATAAAAAACCACACAAAAAGTTTTAGGAATTAAGAAACAGAGTCTTGTGTTCATAAACGGTGCCGGAGATATTATGAAGAAATTGTGGGCAAAAAAATGACCTTCTAGGGAAGGATTCACGTCATAGGCATGTATTATGGAATATAACAGCCCGTAGATTAAACCTGAAATAGCAAGAGTCGTGTCAGGGAATAAATTAACTGTAGCCCTGTAGGCAGATCTGTTTGAAGGAAAAACTATACAATGGGAGTACCTGCCTAGGCTGAGAACAGCGGTTTGATACATCATCAAAAGATTTGGTATACATGACATTCGAATGTTGACTTGGTTTCATACTCGTGTTAGGGGCTGTACATCATGAACAGTTTAGGCGGCAAAGGCTGTACAAAAGGTTAGCTATCAAGGATGAGTAATAATGGCTGAGGAAGAATATATAACATGAACAATTTATTTTTTTAGTAATATAAGGAAATACAATCAAAATGGACATAAAACAGGTCGAACTAATTGAACAACCACATGCAAATGCTGAAAAGGTAAAAGAAAAAGCAAACAGTTGGTGCCAAGTAGCAGCAAGAAAGAGGGAGCATAAGCTACATAGGGTTAAGATATGGAAGCATAACAATGAAGAAGAACATCCAGGTGCTAACATAAGAATCACCGCTATAAGCACTCACCAAACTTTTTTGGTGTGGGTAGAAGTTTAGAACCGTAGAAGGGAGATAGGAGTTATGTAGGTTCCCTTTTTGGAGGAGTTTTAGCTCAAGTTTTCTGGGCGAAGTCCTGCTAGCGCTAAACGCTAACTCATGTAACGACTCTACGAAAGTAGTGAGAAAAACTGTTATTTATTAAATTAAAATTAAAAGGATATAAAGACACCTAAACGTGGCTTCTCTGATTTCTCTAACTTCTCAAGTGATTAAAGAACCCTAATCAAACTACTCCCTCTGTTCCAAATTAAAAGTCGCTTTGACTTTTTTGGTACATCTATTTTGCTATGCATCTACATAAATAATGTCTAGATACATAGCAAAATAGATGAACCAAAGAAGTCAAAGTGACTTATTATTTGGAACGGAGGGAGTAGTATATTGTCCATGCTAACACTGCGACATCTAGAAAAACAAATAAAAAACCAAAAGGGGATATGTTTGGTTAATTTTAAAAATTTGTTAAATGTAAAGCATCATAAAAAATAAATTCGAGGCAGCCAATTGTATATTAAATATTAGTATTCAAAAGAAATGATAAATATCACTTGCATATGACACAATTCAGCTATGAGAAGATGTCTTTATGGTAAAAAATAACACAAAAAAAGAGGATTATATATTTGCCAGCATCACAAATAGTGCAGTCGTATATGTAAGCTCAAGGATTAGACTATTTAATTAATTGGCAGTTGACTAAGATGGAAATAAGAAGGCAAAGAAAATCATTTGCTTAAGCTAAAGGCCTTTACGGTTGCAGACTTGCAGTACATCACCAGGAAAACTAAAAGGGATGATTATTTCACCAAATCAGAGACAATTGGATCATAGTTCATGTGCTCTGGAAATTCAATCTCTTGTGTACTTAAAACAGAGGGTATCAACTGAAAACATAAGCTATTTTATTCATTGCTGAATATACACAAACGCTACTGAATCAGATTATCAGTAATCAGATACTCAGTCCAGGCAAGATCACACTTGATATTAGCATCGAACAACCTTGACAGCAGAAGACAAGACATTCACCTGGACAGCAGTTTCATACTAGTCGAAAGGAGTCAGAAGACTTGCGAACACCTCTATGCCATCTGATACATTTAATCTCAGACTTAAAGTGCGACTTGGACCTTTATGACCTTTCCGCATGTGCAATATACCAACCTGTAAATTGAAAATTTTCAAATGATAAAGACGGTGGTAAAAAGGGAACACAGGAATTTCACATGAATTTCATAGTTCAGTTCACAGGAAAAAGAAGCAGGAAATAGGAAAAGAATCCCGCATTACAAAGGGGACCTTGCTGAAAGACTAACAGACTAGTTCCAGAAAAGCTAGATCTATGGGTGCTAATATAAGAGATGACTGTGAGATCTCACCAAGTCATTGAAATGGTATAAAAAGCTTGTAGACAAGCGTATTCCTTTTGAGTTCACAGAAAAAGTGCTCTAGGGAAAAAATATAATATGAAGTTTCAAAAAGGAATATACCCCTAAATCACAAAGTCTAAAGGGTAAAAAACAAAGCAATAGGTTCTTTCTGGGATTGAAAGCGTGCATGCAGAAATGAAAAAAGAATGATACATCTCAGTTAGAACACCCCACCTAAATTCAAATCTGAGCTGCATTTCTCCAACATCCTGATTTTGACTTAGTTAAGAGAAATTGGCACAAGCTATTCAGGTTAAGATAATATTGATATTGATAAAATACCAATAAAAGATAAAAATTCAAAGTACTTTCAACTATCAAGGATGGGGTTGTTAAAAAAAAAACTCCAGTGGGCTAAGACGACATGCGACATTGTAACTAAGTCTAGAAAACCTCAAGACTGTGGTGCACAACCTGCGGCTCAATCCATGTGGGGACCATGCACTACCAGTGCCTGTGGGTTTAGCTAGGAAAATTAGTAGAGTAATAGTTATTTAAACATGAGCCAATTCAATTTTATGCTGGTTTATAACAAAAGCAAATTCAAGTTTAGTGCCAAAAACTTCATTCTGAGGAAGAATACTGGTACCAAAAAACTCTTGGCTGTTTGAACGTGGATAACAGCGCAGAATACTTTCAATAGAAGAAAGAGAGAATATTAAATCTGAAAATGGTGAAGAAATCATTAATGGGGCAGAATTCACATAAAAATGCTACAGATCGACTACTGACTTCTATGAAGGATGGTTAGAACTAACGCAGGTTTCTAGCAGGTCAGAGAGAGAGAGACTATCAAACATTGATTATGTTGAATTAGATAGGCCTCTTATCGAAGAAACTAAGAAGAAGGCTTTTTTCAAATGAAATCTAATAAAACTGCTGGTCTCTTGATGGACTTACCGGTATGTCTATCCAGGAACCGATGGTTCCTCCTTGATCAAGATGATTCTCGCATATGCTCATATTTAAGCTTTCCAACTAATAGCAGTAATAAGAATAGTAAATGTGAGTTATTAAGAAGATCATAAACATGAGATATATATTTTTTTCTCAACATAACACATTTACTACTATTACTCAAATACCTCAACAGTGGTAGCAATGCACTTTCCATTTACGGAGTAAATGATATCACCACGTCTAACTCCTAGCTCCTCTGCAACTGATCCATTAGACACCTATAGTTCAATTTGTCATGCACTACTCAATATTATAATGAAAAAGCATAAAGTGTATAAGATAACAAGAAACAGTGCACAGCATATACCTCTTCAACTATTAGACCTGAATCAACATTGCACTTACGAAAGATCCTCTCCACATGAATCGGATCTAGAAATTTAATGGGTGAAAACTTCATCCCAAAATGCAGCCGAGGGATACACCTTGCAAAATTATCATTTATCAGATTCCAGAAACTAGGAATAGTATATTTACTAAGCGGAGTCTCCGAAGCCATGTTTTTTTTGGCATGCAAAACCAAATCAAAACAAGCTCATAGAAGTACTGTAGTGGTGAGGTAGTACGTGTAAAAGGACCCCAATTTGTTGACTGGTAGGGAAGAAAACAGGGAGGGAGAACAAAAAAAAAAACGCAAGCACTGTAGATGTACATGCGATTTGTTACATGGCAGGGAAAGAAGCAAGAGTAGAAAGCAGGGAAAAAACAAAAGGCAAAACAGTGTAGGTGAATAGTACGAATACTGTTGAGCTACAGGCAAATGTGCACGAAAACAAAAAGTTTTATAACAAAAGCAATTTTCGTGAATGTGTGTCTAAAATAGACAAGACAACAGAAATGAGACTTATCAATCTAAGAACTAATATATTAATTAACACAAGTACACAACAAAATCTATCATGTTTCCTCAAGATATTTGTTCATCACTAAAATCATACAGTTAGAGTAGCAAAACAAGAACTTACTGATATTTCTTCCACATAGCCAAGCACCTCGATATAATAGAGGAAGGAATAAAAGCTGATCCTGGAAAGTTAGCCATCCCCAAAACTTCCCCACTGAAGTCAATTACTGGCCCTCCAATGCTAGACTAAAATATTTAAACTCAACATTTAGAAATATAAACAAGATAATAAATCAATAATAATTTATGAGAAAGTCAGGATAAATATCATTTATACCTTTCTAATTGCACCACCAGTGAACATATAGTGAGGACGTTCATGTAGATTTGGGCCATGAAATCCAACAAACTCATAATCAACAGTCAAATTTAGATTTTCATCTCTACCCATCACAAATGTTTCCTGACCATATTTCACATCACTATTGAATTCAGGAATTTTAGCACATGACTCTATACCAACTGTAAACAGAGCCATATTGATGTGCTTGTCATAATGAAGCAATTGTGCAGGCACAGTAGTCTCATCTTGATCTAACAAATGAGCAACAACCTGAATACAGATACAAAAGATAGACATTACAGTTTTTTAAGAAACATGATACAATCACAACAATAATACTAGTATTCATCCAACAAATGAGTAACAACCTAATTGCGGATACAAAAGACGAGTATTACACTTATTTAGAATATAAACAGGATAAAGTGATAGCGGCATAAGCTGTGTGTCTATATCAAAATGGCAATTGTTTCTGAACTCACCTTAGCATTAGGTGAATACTCATCTGTACCAGACCACTGGCTCGTATATTTTGAGCAGATTATATGTGCTGATGTTAAAACAGTGCCTTCTCTACTCTTCGCATCCCAACCAATAAGAAAACCAGATGAACGTGCCATCAGTTTACCATCTGTAAATGCAATAATAGATTAGTGAAAAAAACAAAGGATAGAGAGAAACTAAATAGAGGCAATATGTTACATACCGATATAGGATGAGAGACTAAGAATAACTTTAGCTACTTGGAGAACCGCTTTTGTTGCGGATTCACGAACACTCCTCAATTGACCTTCTGTTACCAACGACGAGAAAGGAATAGAAGTATCAAGTGTGACAAGCTCACATTGGCGCTCTACACGTTATCATATATAAATACATGCTGAATCAGTCTATTGTGTTCAAATCCATAGTATGCAAAATAAATATGGAGTATGTTTCATTCATTATTGAAATTGTTTTTTTTTTTGCTAGATGGGATGAAAGCAAAAAAAAAAAAAGTGAGTACAAGAGAATTCTATGCACGAAAGCAGTTTCCTAGTTCCGGCCAAACTTTCAACAATTAATACGACTCTCAACCATATCTTCTCTTAATATCTAATTCTACCATATCTAAGTCTGTATAACAGCATTGAACCATACATGCTCACTGAGGTGTTCGCTACCATAGATAAAAAGACAGGACCATAACCTTCTTGCATATCCGGTTATTACCATAGATAAAATGACAATAGCATACCCTTCTTGCATATTCAGATTTCTATCATGTCCCTATTTGTCAAGGGCGTTGGTGCCCAAGACAGCAGGTCCCCGACTCCGGAGTTCGTAGCTTGATTGGGTAATAGGAGGGTTCCCTGGACGCCCTATGGTGAAGGGGGTGAGATTGAGTAGCAGAGGTAGATTAGGAGATAACTTGTTTCTTGATTGAATCATTATAAGCTGATTACAGAGTATATATAGAGCAGCCCAGCCCCTAGGCGCCCAGCTCTGTCTCCTCGTTTCTCTCCCCATTAATCATTCTCTCATTACTCTAATCCCTTCCCCATAATACTTAATTGCTACTGATTACAGCTGGTACTTCCTTGGATGCCGCTCTGGCCCTTCTGGCCACATCTCGAGCCCTAGGACGCCTTTGATATTGGCGCCCCCACATCACATCTCTCCCTCCCTCGACGAACAGCTCGTCCTCGAGCTAGAAGCTTGGATAGCGATCGATGAAGTTGTCGAGGTCTTCCCAAGTGGCCGATGCTGCAGGCTCGTCTTGCCAATGCATCAGCACCTGCCGCACACCTCTGGCCAGGCAAGTGCGGGTGGCGCGCTCTGGAACAAGCTGCGTTGAGCCGTGGTGGGTGAGGGGCAGCGCTGGAGGCGTGGTTGGTGGAATCCCCACAAACTTCTTGAGCAGCCCAACATGGAAGACATCATGCAGCCCGACGTGAGGAGGAAGCTCGAGGCGATAGGCGACGTCGTTGATGATGGCGGTGATGCGGTACGGCCCGTAGAAACAGGGTCGTAACTTCCCTTTGGTGACCACGTTCCAGGAGGCTAGGGATCGGTGGCGAAGGCGGAGCCAGACCCAGTCCCCATCAGCAAAGCGAACGTCACGGTGGTGCTTGTCGTAGAAGCGCTTGAGACCGCCTGGGCTTGCTCCAGGCGAGCGTGGGCATCTGCGAGGAGCTCATCACGTTCAGCCATGCTTTTGGCCACGATAGCCACCCTTGTCTCGCCTGGTTCATAGGAGCGAAAGGAGGGAGGCGCGCCCGTAGACGATCTGGAATGGCGTCGTCTTGAGGGCGGACTGGAAGGTAGTGTTGTAGATGAATTCTGCCCATGGCAGCTAGCGCAACCACTGTCGAGGACGATCACCTGTGAGGCACTTTCCAGAAGATACAAGTGAACACGGGGTCCCGATCCGAGACAATGGACTCCGGGATACCATGCAGGTGCACGATGTCGGTGAAGAACACTTGCACCACAGACTCCACCAAGTATGGATGCGCCAATGGGATAAAATGGCAATACTTGCTGAATCTGTTGATCTGTCGACAACAGTGAGGATGATAGACTTGCCGCCAACCCGGGGCAGCGCCTCGATGAAGTCCATCCTGATGTCAGTCCAAACCGATGATGGCACCAAGAGGGGAAGGAGCACGCCTACTAGATGTAGGTGTTCTGATTTGTAGCATTCGCATGTGGCGCATGCTCAGACGTAGTCCTAGACCACCTTGCGCAGGTTGGGTGAGTGGAAGTTGCGGCGCAGGCGGTGTAGGGTGCGCTGGACGCCTTCATGTCCGTCGTCGTGCACTGCGCTGAGAAGTTCTTGGAGTAGAGGGGCACCAAGCAGGATGTAGAGGCGCCCCTGGAAGGCCACCAGCCCATGAACGAGGGACCAAGGGGCCGTGCGCTGATCATTGGCGAGCTCCTCCCTGAGCATGATCAGCGCAGGGTCCTAGTCATGTGTCTGACGAAGACGGTCGATGAAGTCAAAGCGCGCCCGGAGATGTGAGGACTGCAGCTTCCTCGGTGTTGCGGCGGGACAACGCGTCTACCACCGTGTTGGTGCTGCCCGCCTTGTATTCGACCGAGAAATCGAAGCTCAGCAGTTTGCCCACCCAGTGGTGCTGCGGAATGGTTGCTAGGAGCTGGTCTAACAGAATTTTGAGGCTAAAATGATCAGTTCGTACCAGGAAACGGTGGCCCCAAAGATAGGGCCACTAGTGGCGGATGGTGAGCACCAGGCCTATTAGTTCCCGCTCATAAGCTACAAGGAACTGATGCCGTGGCGCGAAGGGCCTGCTAAAGAACGCCACTGGGTACTGATCTTGAAGGAGGACAACCCCGAAGCCATAGGTGGAGGCGTCACACTCCACGATGAACGGTCGCACGAAGTCGGGCAAGACCAGCACTGGCGCGGTGGTGAGGGCGTGCTTGAGGGCGATGAAGGCCGCGCCGGCTGCCTCGGTCCAGCCGAACCCCTCCTTCTTGAGGAGGGCCTTCAAGGGCGCTGCGATCACGCCGAAGTCCTTGACGAACTTCCGATAGTAGCCTACAAGCCCGAGGAAGCCACGTACTGCACGCGCCGAGCGAGGTTGGGACCAGTCCGCGACGGCCTGAACCTTGTTGGGGTCCATGGCCACCCCTTCAGCGGAGATGATGTGCCCCAAATAGGGGATGGAGGTGACGCCGAAGGCACATTTGGACCGCTTGACGAAGAGGCGATGTTGGTGGAGCACAGTAAGGACCGCACGCAAATGCTGAAGGTGCTCCGCCCACGAGCGGCTGTAGATGAGGATGTCATCGAAGAAGACGAGGATGAAACGGCGCAAGAACAGTGGTAGCACGTTATTCATCAGTGCTTGGAATGTTGTCGGAGCGTTGCACAGACCGAACGGCATGACAAGGAATTCGTAGAGGCCATCATGAGTCCAGAACGTTGTTTTCTCGACATCTACAACGCTCATGTGGACTTGATGGTAGCTGGAACGGAGGTCCAGCTTGGTGAAGTAGCGGGCGCCGTGCAACTCATCGAGGAGCTCATCGACCACTGGAATGGGGTAAGCATCCTTAACAGTATTGGTGTTGAGGGCTTGTAGTCGACACAGAACCGCCACGCACCGTCTGCCTTCTTGACCAGCAACACAGGTTACGAGAATGTTGAGGTGCAGCGCTGGATCAGCCCCTGTGCCAGCATAGTGGAGCATTGGCGTTCCAGTTCATCCTTGTGGGAGGCGGGCTAGCGATAGGGTCGGATGGCCACTGGTGAGGACCTCGGGACTAGGTTGATGTAGTGGTCCCGGGATCGTGACAGCGGCATGCCACTAGGCTCGGCGAAGACGGAGCTGAACTCGTCCAGCAAGGCCGGAAGGAGGTCGGCATCGCTGCACGCCCGCAGAGCGGGGCTGGCTGGCCTGGTCACGCCTTGCCAGCAGACACAGTGGTCCCGATGCCAAAAAGACATGGTTAGCGCGCCGAAGTCCCAGAGAATCGGCCCAAGGGAGGCCAGCCAATCTGTGCCGAGGACGGCGTCATAGCCGGCCAGCGGCAGTGCGAAGAAATCGGTGGAGAAGGTCTCGCCGTCGATGGAGAAGGTTGTGGCATGGTACATGCCAGGGCACGGCACGCGCTCCTCGTTGGCCACCGTCACCTTCATGTTGCTGCGGGGGAGGAGCTGGAGTGAAGTGTGAGCCGCGGCTTCCTCGAAGACGAAGTTCTGGGTCGAGCCGGAGTCGATGAGCGCGAGGAGGGAGGCACCACCCAGCTGGATGCGCACTTGCATGGTTTCACTGGTGTGGACACCAGCCATGGCGAGCAACGAGATGTGCGAATTGACCACCTCAGTTGCCGCCACAAGCTCCGTGTCCTGGACGTCGTGGGCTTCATCATCTTCTGCCATGTCGAGGAGGAAGATGCGCTGGCAGACGTGGTTGTGGCCCTAGCCAAACTTTTCACTGCAGTTGAAGCATAGGCCGAGGCGACGACGCTCCTCCATCTCAGTCTGCGAAAGACGTTTTACCTGTCGGCCTCGACGGAGACCATGGATGGTCCAGCCTTGGTTGGGGGAGTCAGAAGCGCCAATTGAGGAGGCGGCCCTGGAAGGAGGCTGCACGTCGGCGCTCTTGGTGGCGCAGGCGGAGGTGCAGCCACTGCAACACACTGCTCGCGTTGCTCCAGCTTGTGGGCGAGGCTCATGGCAACGATGAGATTGGGGGTTGTGAATCTCGACGTCGAGGCTAAGTGGTGGCTGGAGCCTGGCCATGAAGGCCTGTACCCGCTGCGCCTCCGTCAGCATGCCCACACAAGGCAGCAGTGCCTCAAACCGGTCCTGATACTCCGTTACAGAGTCGGTTCACTTGCACGCCATGAGTTCGCCCAGCGGCCTCCAGGTTGTATGATGCCATCCAGACTTGCTCCTCCACGGCAATCCGCTGTTGATGAAAGTATGACTCACAGCGGTTGATGAACGCGAGTGACTTGCCGTCGTACTTCGGGAAGTTGAGCTTCTGGAACCAATGTGGGCGATCACCGTGGTTCTCGCCGTGGCCTGAGCCCCTCAATCCAGAGAAGGAGCCTGCTGCTAGCCGCTCCTGCTGCAGCACGGCGACCTAGCCCTGGAGTTCGCTGATGGAGGCGGTCAGGGTTTGGATGAGCTTTGCCAAGTCTGCTGTGGTTGGCTCGGCCATGGGTGATGATATGGAGGCGGTGGAAGATGAAGGTGAGGTAGGAACAGATGGAGTGGCGGCGGCTGGGTGGGCTGGTGGTGGTGCAGTGGAGGAGGAAGAACGCCTTTAAGCCGATACCAGATTGTCAAGGACGTTGGTGCCCAAGACAGCAGGTCCCCGACTCCGGAGTTCGTAGCTTGATTGGGTAATAGGAGGGTTCCCTGGACGCCCTATGGTGAAGGGGGTGAGATTGAGTAGCAGAGGTAGATTAGGAGATAACTTGTTTCTTGATTGAATCATTATAAGCTGATTACAGAGTATATATAGAGCAGCCCAGCCCCTAGGCGCCCAGCTCTGTCTCCTCGTTTCTCTCCCCATTAATCATTCTATCATTACTCTAATCCCTTCCCCATAATACTTAATTGCTACTGATTACAGCTGGTACTTCCTTGGATGCCGCTCTGGCCCTTCTGGCCACATCTCGAGCCCTAGGACGCCTTTGATATTGGTGCCCCCACATCACACTGTTCTCTAGGGATAGTTGGTCATGCATGCCTACTTAAATGTTATAGATGTGGCCAATAACATACCCTCAGTTCATATCCAATTCTTTACCATATCTATTTCTCTAGCAGCATTGAGTAAGATACGCCTATAGGAGTATTGCAGATAGTACACAAAAGGACAAACAAGTTTCCCAAACCCATTCAGTAATGCATGCCTTCGGAAGTATTGCAGATTGAACACAAAAGGGCAAAGAAGTTTCCCAAACTTACTCATTTTCTCATGGTACTTCCCCACCAAGTCAAAATAGACATCATTCGCAGCATGATAGCCAGGTGCACCCCGTCCACCGAAGTCATCGGGATTGGGCATACGAGGAAAACGCAGAGGAGGGCTGACCGTAGAGGAGGCCTCAGAGTCAGAGGCATGCGCGCCTGTTGACGCTGAGGCAGCGGCTTTCTTTCTGTGGCTCTTCTGGGTTCTCTTACGCTTCTTCTTCCGCCCCTCGCCTTCGGACTGCTCAAGGGCGGCTTTCCTCTTGCCTTGCTGCGATGATGGCTCAGCTTCTGGTTGGATGGCCCCCGATAGGTGATCAGTCACCGCGGGCTCGTGGCGGTGCCGCCGTCGCTCTGCCCTTGACCTAGATCCCGACGCCTCTTCCACCGCGTCGTGCGTGGTCGGCGCCATGACCTTGCTTGTTAGTGTTTGTTTGATTGGCTGGGCCAACCACAAGATCGGCTTGGTGGTGGGGTGTGTGCGAGGAGTCAGGGAGACCTGATCCGTGCACGACGCCACAGCTACATCCGATGGGTCGGGATGTAGGATGAATGGGCCGGGCGACAAGGGCCGTGTTTGTTTCCTGGACCACCATGGCCCGTTCGGATCACTTGGGCCAGGGCAGGAATATGCAGTTGACGAGATCCTAACACGAGCGTACGTTAACTTTTGGTTTTTCCGATCGAAGGAACCAACCAATCCTTTCAGGATCGTTCGACGGCTCGGGGCTACACCCCCACATATGCCCTTGCACATGCCTTTCGAGCAAGGACTGGGCTGATCCCGAGCACGCTCTCAGCCTCTGCTCAGGGCTCGGGGTCTCACTCGAGCCCTAAGCTCTCGAGCCCTAAGCTCTCAATCGACGGGTCCAAGCCCATTCCTTGGTCCCGACCTCTAGCGCTAGCCAAGGCCCGGGCTGGAGGCAGGCGCCCCGAGCACCCAAGGCTCGAGGGCTCCCCAGCGCAGCACAGCGAGCGCAGTGCTGTCAACCACTCCCCCGACGGTGTCACACACGTGGCGTGACACAAAGGTGACAAAACCCCTCCGCTGGCTGCAGGGGTTCGGGGCCTCCCGGGCCCGCTCATTAGCCCCTCAAGCCGGACGCCTTCGCCACCAAGGAAGCCTCCACAAGATGCACCTGGTGGAGGCCAGTCCAAGCCGACAAAGCCTGACAGTCAGAGCATCAAAACAGAGCAGTCGGATGACGCCATAGCTTCTCCGGCTCCACGACAACGCCAAGGTCCATCCGCGCCGCTGCAAGGTCATCCTGGACTCCGGCGCATGTAGAACATAGAGTAGACTCCCCCAATTGCCATGTACCCGACCTACCTCGATCTATAAAAGGAGGTCGGATCATACAGAGGGGAGGGGACGAACAGAGGACAAACCCAGGAACCAGAGAACAAATCATTCGAGTCCTCACGACCAAACTAATAGCAAAACCACCCTGAGAGGAGTACCGAGAGCTCCTCCACCCTTTCTATCGTCTTCCTCCTCTCCGACAAGGAGGAGACCTCACTGCCGATGAGCCTAGGATCAGCACTGAGCGATCCCCTGTCAAATCTCTTACACTTTGTTGTAACCCCTCGATTTGGGTGCTCTTGAATACAAGGATCATCAAACTGCTGGATGTAGGGCTCCTATAAGGATGGACGAAAAACTCAAAGCTCGTTATCTCGCTCGGCTCGTGGCTGGCTCGGCTCGGCTCGACTCGTATGATAACGAGACGAGCCGAGCCAAGATTTTAGCTCGTTAGCTATAATGAGCCAACTCGCAAGCCACTCGCGAGTGAAACGAGCCAGAAAAAAGTAGCATAACTTATATTAGTTTTGTATTACTTTATGTCTTGCACTTTACAATTGGTTGATGACTGGTCTAGACTCTATAAACTTGAGATTATTATGAATCTATCATTTTGTTTTTAATAGATGTATGGATTCTTATGGACACATTTGTATGGTATGGAGTGTGGACCATGGATGTATGGTTTAATAATACTATAGTATATTATTATACTTGCATATATGTTAGCACATATGAATATTTTATTCGATTTAAAGCTGTTGGATAGTTAATTTTGTATTATTACTATTATCGAGCTTTAGATAAATATAAATATTATATTTGTGTATTTTTTTATACACGGCTCATGAGCTTAACGACCCAACTCAAGCTCGTAAACGAGCCGAGCCGAGCTGGCCTTCTGGCTCGTTATCTTGGCTTGTTATCTTAATGAGCCAGCCGAGCCGAGCTGGCTTATTATCCAGCCCTAGGCCCCGATAGCCCGAACCAGTGTCTCCCAAGTGATCTTTGAGTTCTTCGTGTTTTTGAGTCCACCCGAGCCACCGGAGACCTCACAGTCAGTGACACCCAACGAACAACAATGTTTGCCACAGTTTTGACCCCGCGGCGCGACAGCTGGCGCACCAGGTAGAGAAGCGTGTCAAGTGTGATTCATGCTCTACGGTGGCTGGAGCCACCCGCCTCGTCGCCGGAGCAGGAGGCGCGGCCCCAGATGACGGCATCCTCCTCCCTGGCAGATTGAATCGTGGACAAAGTTGGTACAAATGCACATAGTTGGTCAAGTGATTGAACTGTGCAGAGAATGAGGGTTGTGCAGAGTTAGAGGGTAAGAATGTGTCGAGTTGATTGGGAGATTATAAGTGTAGGGAGTTGTTGGATGTTTTTGGAAATAGATTCAAGGAGCTCTTAGAGATACTCCCTTCATTCCAAATTATAAGACACTTTAAACGTTTAAGATATATAAATTTATTATGTATCTAGACATAACATATATATCTAAGTGCATAGAAAAACCCTCCAATGTCGGTTTGATGTGTAACGAAATTAATATTTAATAAAGGAGTTCTACAAATTTATGTCAACCAGTCCATACAGTATACTAGTAATTCTAATAAAGTTCATAAGCTTGAACGTACTTCTCAGTCGTAGTCATAGTCCTGCTACCTTAGTCTACAGGGTACTCCAGTGTTGAAGGACTTTCATCAAACAAACAGGTCGAGGCCATAACATTCATGTATGCTGACATTAGAATGATGGGCGCCCCTTCGAGTCCGACGACGAACTGAAGTGGCTTGACCTTCTTCTTCCAAGGGTATTCCATGTGAAACTGTTTCCCTTCTGTAAGCCGCTAGTAATGACTTCGTCTTCGCCATCATCTCCAGTCTCGTCCTTGCTGTATGATGAAACTCTAGCTCTTTTTTTTGTCAGGCGTCCACGTTGGGTTACTCGCACCATCTGCGTTGTTTTCTACAGACCTAAGCGTTTTCTCACTAAACTCAACCTGGATGTCAGATGAGTAAGCAGTCCTCTTCGGCCTTGGAGTCGCCTTTGGAATGTCTTCAAATCCCTCATCAGATTTCATCCACTGATCACCAAAAGAGTCCGAATAGACAACCTCTTTTCTACGTCGCTTCGCACCAACCATTATATTCTGGAATTCATCTGCCACGGTTCTCTTGGGTAAATCACTATTGTTGGCAAACACCCAGTCTGGAACCTCATTCCCATCCATAAGTCTAGATTTGTAGTTTTCTCTAAGCCTCCTTTCTTCATCCATCTTCTCAAACAACCAGAATTTTTCATCAGTTCGTGCAGCCAAACGATTTATCTCACGCTCACTGGGGATATCTGTTCCCAACGAGCTTGTCCCCCTCCTGAGGATCTCCTGCAGCAATGCTCGTCTGTCCTGTGCTGTAGTGGGAATGAACATGAAAATATGTCATGTGAGTTCCAGTACAAAGTCTACATGTAGTAGACAAAAATTAAAAAAATAGGAATTAAAGCATTAAAACTCACCAGTGGAAGTTGTGTTAAACAACCCAGCCTGGATAACTTTTGCATCAATACCCATCTTTTGTTTTACACAGTCCAGGATCTCTTCTTCAATTGAGCCAACACTAACAAGAACAAATACACGCACTTCATTCTTCTGCCCTATACGATGGGCACGGTCTTCAGCTTGTTGGTCCATTTGAGGGTTCCAGTCACTATCAAAGATAATGACAGTGTCCGCCGTCTGCAAGTTCAACACAAGGCCTCCAGCACGTGTGCTGAGCAGAAACATGAAATATTCTAAATCCTTCTTATTAAAATCTGCCAGTAACCTCCCTCGTTCTTCGGTCTTCGTGGATCCATCCAGGGTTCAATTTATCGGTAGCAAAAAAATAACAGAGGTCACCAATAAACGGGTTTATCGGATTTATCGAAAAAATTCTCAGTCAAAAATAAAACAAAAAAAATACCTAATTTCACTAAAAAATTACATAAGTTGTCCCTAAAGCATTTAACATCAAGAACTAGCACATAATAGTATTAATATAATAGAGTATCACACTTTCATATAGGTGAACTAGCGAACTGATCATAGCTCAGCTGGTTGGGTTTCTTGTGGTAGAACCTGCCCACCCGAGTTCAAGTCCTCGACTTGGCACGGGTGCTCGCATTTTTCTGGATTTATTACAGGATTTAACGGCGCTATGCTTTCAGTGGTAGGCGACGTCCTCGTCGAGAGCGAGGCGCCTGTGGTGACTTTGTAAATCTCGTGATCTGCCGGCTCATAGTCCTTCGGAGATGCTCATAGGGGTAGAGTTTACGTACGTATGTTCATAGGGGTGAGTGTACGTGCGTTGTGAGTGTCTGCGTTGTACTGTGTAATTCTAAAAAACAATATTGGTGGACTAGTGAAAATTGGAATCTCGGAAACAGGATCCATTTTGCTCGGGCGTGGCCTTGCTGCGCCAATTGTTTGGGCTCCACCAGCTGTCTGAATTCCCAAAATTGACGCCAGGTGATCCCAGCAAGTTCCTGCTGCTCCCTTCCACTATCACCCTCCCTCACCTTATTTCTTTCCCACCATAAATTATTCAACAAAATAGCTACCAACGCACTCTTCTCAGGTTTCAGACGGAGAACGGCTTCTATGCACTGTTTGGCGTCCGGCAAGGTGCACAGCTGCAGTCTGACATCCTCCAAACCCAACTCCTGCCACAATTTCTTAGACCATTTGCATTTGAAAAAGAGATGGCCTCCATCCTCATCAAACCTCTGGCAAACAAAACAAATTGTATCAAGTTCCATCCCCCTTCTCTTCAGGTTACATTTCAGAGCCAGAGAGTTATTGGCAAGCCTCCAAATGAAATGCTTTACTCTGTTAGGACACTGAAGATTCCAGATTTCCTTCCATAAACTCCCCATTACAACTGCATTACTAGAAGAGGCCACCCCCTGTATACTCTCTCTCTCTCTCTGCTCCCTTTCACACTGCACCCAATAGGCAGACTTTACAGAGAACATGCCCTTTTGATCATAGTGCCAAGCCACGATGTCATCCATTTCAGTATGGACAGGAAGAGACAATACGATTCTAGCATCCTCTTCACAGAAAGTGTCCAATACCAGATCTTCATCCCACTCGCCATAAACTGGATCGATCAGGTACTGAACTTTTGTCAGCAGTGATTGTCCTCTGGTCGTCATGGGCCTGCGAGTGGACCCCCTTGGCAACCAAGGATCTTGCCATATTCTTATATTTTCTCCATTGCCCACTCTCCATATGATGCCCTCTTTGAGCAGATCTATACCTCGTGATATACTTCTCCACGTGTAGGACATACCCCTTTACTGCTAGCCTGTAACACATCACAATCTGGAAAATACTTGGCTTTTAAAACTCGAGCACATAAAGATGAAGGGTCCTGCAGTAGGCGCCAGCCTTGCTTAGCAAGCATGGCCAAATTGAAACAATGGATATCTCTAAAACCCATTCCTCCTTCTTTCTTAGGTTTCTTCATCTTATCCCAGCTAACCCAATGCATCTTCCTTTCTTTATCATGTTGGCTCCACCAGAATTTACATATGAGCGCACTGATTTGATCGCACAAATTTTTTGTAAGATCAAAACAGCCAATCGCATATGTTGGGACCGCTTGAGCCACAGCCTTTATCAACACTTCTTTGCCGGCATTTGACAATAATCGTTCCTTCCATCCCTGAATCCTTTGCCACACCTTATCTTTTAAATATTCAAAGGTCCTACTCCGTGAGCTGCCAACATGGATCGGAAGGCCTAAATATTTATCATTGAAAGATTCCTGTGTCAACTGCAGCTCTCCCATCACCTCTTGCTTGCACTGATCAGTAGTGTTTCGACTAAAGAAAATAGCCGACTTATCCTTATTTATCATTTGACCTGAACAAACTTCATATATGTGGAGCACTTCCTGCAGTTTTGCTGCATCTTCCTTGGTAGCCCGAATCACAATAAGCGAGTCATCCGCAAAAAGGAGATGAGAGATACTTGGCGCCCTACGACATACCTTCACTCCTCTGATCATACCATCATCTTCGGCCTTTTGCAGCAATGCCGAGAAGCCCTCAGCACATAAAAGAAAGAGATAAGGTGATAATGGATCACCTTGCCGCAACACTCTTTCAGGATTGATCTCATCCGTTAGAACACCATTAACCTTGACTTTATATTTAACGGACGATACACAGTTCATAATAAGATTTATCCATCTATCATCAAAACCCATTCTCTCCATCATGGCCTGCAAGAAAGCCCATTCTACCCTGTCATATGCTTTACTCATATCAAGTTTAATAGCAGCATAACCTTGCCCCCTGCCCCCCCCCTTCTTTTTCCTTCTCATGTAATGCAAAACTTCATAACCAATCAGGGTATTATCAGATATCAGTCTACCAGGGACAAAGGCACTCTGTGGAGGAGAGATAATCCCTGGGAGTATGGCTTTCAATCTATTTGCTAGCACCTTTGAGACAATCTTATATAAGACATTGCAAAGACTTATAGGCCTTAGATCTTTTACCTGCTCTGGCTTTCTCACTTTCGGTATTAGCGTGATATTTGTATTATTCCACTCTGTCGGCAATAAACCCCCATTAAGAACAGCCAGCACCTCTGATGTCACCTTCTCACCAACTAAATGTCAAATGGTACGTCATCGATCCTAGCAATCGGTCAATGATCGATGGATACCGTCGCTCCCGCCTTAACCCAGAAGGGATGGCAGGCTGGGTCACAAGTGGGTCATTATCGGGCTGCTTGCGTGCTCATTAGATGAACATGATTTTGCTCCGCTGGTGGGCCACACAGTTCTAAGGGCAAACAAATGTTTTTCTTTGTTGAATTTATTATGTTAGGGCAAAAAAATGTTTTTTATTGTATTTACTGTTTTGTTAGTTTTCTTCAGTGAATTAGTTTTTTTAAAGTATAGACAAATAAGTTTATTGCCTAAGAACAATGTTTACTTCCCAGTTTTGATAATTTAATCCCCAAGATATTTCAGTAGACAATTAAATGTGACCTTTGGAATATCTTTGTTCAGAATGTTTAAGTCTTTGAGCTATTAGTTTAATTCCTAATAATTTTAAATTCACAAGATAATGTAATTGTTCTGATTTCAGCGGAAAACACAATGCACGAAGGTTTTAGTGCCAAAAGTTTAATTGGGAGTTATTTTTTCTCGAACGTGCCATGTAGCACGTATTTCATTAAGAGTAAGTACACAACACCAAACCAAATAATAAACGGCTCAACACTAGGTAACCAAAGGTTTCCTAGACGAGGAGAAAAAAGCGAAAAAAACTAAAGAAAACTACGACGAAGCCCGGCTACTACCACGAGAGAGACTAAAAGCAGCAACGGGCTGAGCGACATCGAACTAGTAAACTAGGCCATGGGCAACGATTGGACGACCTATGGCGGATACCCAGAGGTAGGCTAAACCTCAAGTTCCACCCCCTCCACCAGCTGGATGCCGTCAATCGCGCAGCCTGCTGGGAAGAGCATCCTGATTGCCTCGCGCTTGGACTCTGAGAGAGGCTCGTCGAATACAGCCGGAGCGGGTCAAACTCGCGGCCAGCAGCGACGGGGAGGGGGAGCGCTCGAGGTCAGAGTCGCCGGAGAGGGAGCCATCCTCCCAATGCACGCGCTTGGACCTGCCGGCGGAGAGGTGGTCGGGGAAGAACGAGGCGGCGTCGGGGGAGAGAGTGGGGCGGCCAGGAGACGCCAACAGCCCATAGCTGGAGGCCGTGGATGCGCCCAGCCCGGCCCCACCCTTCCGGGACGGCGGCGACGACAGCACAGGATGCACGGCGTCGGGCACGCCGGCCGCCACGAAACGCACATCGGCAACTGCGGCAATCGCAGGTCCACCCGCACCAGGCGAAGACCGCTGGGCCGGCAGAAGCCGTTGGCCGCCCGCCGAATGGGAGGCGCCACCACAACAGCAGCCACTACCGGAGGCCGGAGACCCACCATTCGATAGTTCAGCACGCGGGGGGAATGGATCCGAAGCTGAAGGAAGGATTTGAGCGGGATTGAGGGAAGATTGTGGTGGATTTAGTAGATTTTGTGGAGGGGGCGGGCGAGCACCCGAGGGGAGCGGGTGGGGCTCCAACGGTGAAAGGATCAAGATGCCCAAGAGGAGGGGTGAATTGGGCTAATTCTAAATTTCTTTGCAATAATTAAGTTCTATGGTTAGCCCAATTAACCCCTTGTACCTAAGAAGTGTTTCTAGTTGTTCTACCGCACAAATGACTTGCAGCCTAAGTTCCAATCCTACTTTAGCATGGCAATTCTATGAATTATAAAGACAAGAATTGAATTGCTCAAAGTAAATACTCAAAGTAAATGCTCAAAGGAAATAGAGAAGGAGGAACGCAGCGATGTTTTGCCGAGGTATCGGAGAGTCGCCACTCCCCACTAGTCCTCGTTGGAGCACCCGCGCAAGGGTGTAGCTCCCCCTTGATCCGCGCAAGGATCAAGTGCTCTCTATGGGTTGATTCTTCGACACTCCGTCGTGGTGAATCACCCACAACCTCTCACAACTTGAGTTGGGTCATCCACAAGCTCTCCGGATGATCACCAAGCTCTCTAATCACCACCAAGCCGTCTAGGTGATGGCGATCACCAAGAGTAACAAGCACGAACTCTCACTTGACCACGAT